AGATTTTTTAATCTTTTAACTCCATTCCCAATATTAACTATATGTCGAATACTGCATAACCTTTATTTTATATAGAAAAAAATAAGTTAACTAAACGACTAGATAAAATATTTTGTCGGTATTTTCTATTAAATACGTAGTAATTCATATACTATAAAATTGGGCATGTTAAAAGTAGTTTTATACCTACCTCCAAAGGCCGTGATCAATATACCTATTCTTATGTTATTTGTCGACTCCCTTGCCTAAGGTCAGTGAAGTGCGACAATCTTGGTACTATGCTCACGTCGTTTCATGTCTTCCCTGTTATTCTTTATTACCACCTAAACAATTCGGAATTTCGCTACTTTTTGGTGAATTTATTTTCTCGCCTTTATTAAGACCATCACATAAGTCTTGCATTGCATAAAGCTTGTTGCAGCATCATATAATCACATTCAATATGAAGGTATCACTTCACGAAGGTATTATGATCACTTCAGTAATCTATGGCTCTTTTATCATGAGTGAGTAGGTTTTCGAGACGATCAGTAAATCATGTATATGATTTGTTTTCATCCTATTTCTTTTAAGGTGACGAAGGACTGATAGTTGAATTTTCCCACAAAGATATGAACAGAGCTGTTGTTTTTCATTGAATTTTACTTAGCTTTGCTTTCCCAAAAGGTGTTCTCATCCAGGGTGGACTGCAGTTTCGACCCCAGTTCTTATAAACCCCGAACTCTCTTCATATCCATTTTCTGTTGCTTCATTAATGAGGAAGCAAAGCTTGTCTTATATTTTTTGACACGTTCGTCAGACTAAACCGTGATTTCTAGAGTACTTTAGCCCTATCTAAGTGATTACTCTGAAGCATAGGCCAGTCGGTGTAAATATTGTTCCCAAAAAAGGCGAAACGAGGCTTCTTGTGAGCTATTGCAATAAAGTGTTGTAAAATTGACACCTACTATGGACAGGATTGCAACCACATCCTAAGCCTCATGTTAGTGAGTCAAAGGATTATGATCAGGAATAGTAAAATCATCAGTGTAAGTACCTTGAAACAGTCTCATCAAGAATTCTACCAGCAAGAGCGGATAGGACATCTCAATATCTAGCTCTTGGATTATCTATCACATTAAGTCGGAATGTAGTTTCATTGTTGTGGTTATTGGAATACTGTGGCATCATTTATTTCCTCAATATAAAACAGCTATCACAAGTTAGGCTGTTACTTTTAGTGTCAAATTCTTTTATTGTTATTTTTAATTATATAGGATGGATTAGTTGACTCCAAGCCTGTCTGGATGATGATATACTTTTGTCTTCGAGCGGGAGATCTTAAAGATGCAATAGAAATAGCTAGATCGGCCACGTAAGTGAAATTTTTTGTCTTTAGGCTAGACTCATATTCAATGAATCCTCTTATTCTTACTATAGTTGTATTTTATTTTTATCCTTTAGCAACAACCTCGGTGATTTTTATCTTACTCTTTCTGAATTTTCAAAAAATAACCGCAAAATTCCAGCACATCTTCTTCCTACTATTATTGAACATTACAATCGAAGTGTGAAAAATTCTACAGATTTTTACAAACGGTTCGCTCATATTTGATCGGTTTAGCACATTTCCATCCTGAAATTGTTGACTATCAATTTGTGTATTTTGTTTCAATAGCTGTGTTTTCTGTGTACTCTGCCGTTTTGACCTCGATGATCTGCATTTGTCTGTTGCGCGATCTGTCGATGACTTTTTATGGCTAAGACTTTCGCAGGTTGAATTATTAACTGGTCACACACAATTAAAGGCCACTCCCAACCATTCCCATCTCAAAAAAATGACTAAACAAGAAGACGTATTGTGCCTTGCTTCTCTACAATCACTAATCTCCGAGACATATGGTACCTATTTCTTTTCCATTTTTTGAGATTGAATGATTCAAATATTCTCACAAAGGATTACATTTATTTATAATTTTTCAGGCGAGGCCCATTTTGATGCATGGCATCAGCCACTCTTATACTTCAAAATATTATTGCTTACGCAACAATTTGAAGCGGCTCTCGCTTTTCTCGGTCGGTTTGATGCCTTTCGTTCTCATTCTGTCCATGTCGCACTAGCTTTACATGATCTGGGATTACTAGTTCCAAGTTTGACCGTGCAGGCTTCAACTAGTAAGTTTCGTAGTCTGGCCAGTTGGCCTGTATGCTTTGATAATTTTCCAACGGTTTATTTACATTGATACGACTTTTTCTGGTGTCTATTTTTACAATTTATTTATTTAAGTTTCTCGAATCGATTCTGATCCTCCTGGATTTCATCGTCTAAACCTGGCCCGACTACTACTTCTTTATACACGCAAATTTGAGCTGACGAATCCACGAGAGGCACTTAATTACTACTATTTCCTCTCTGGAATTCACCTGACCAATAGCTCTTCAAAGCAGCCTTCCCACTTTTCAGCCATGGGTGCTAGCTCTGCGGGAGGCCTTCTTTATTTGCTTGGTGCACCAGGTCTAAAGTGGCCCTTGGAAAGAGGGACGGATACAGGAGGGTGTTTACCTTTACAAAAGAAGGATGTCACTGACGACGACAGTGAGGAGCTGACTGACGATGAGGACGATGAAGATCGGTTCAGAGGTGGCCTTCATGGGAAGGGAATTATATACTTTAGTGAAAAAAGTCTTTTTGTACTGTGCACATGCGAACTAGCCTTGGCCACAAAAGAGGTAACGTATAAGTAAAACGACTCGAATAGATAATATTTCTTAAATTTGCACTCCTTTAGAGTTCCTTGAAATTACTTTGCCAATATTAGCATTTTCTTAGCCCTACTGAAATATATTCTAATCAGTCAAGTCCTCTAGAACTTTACTTTAAAAATAGCTCATATATGATTACCTGTTTTATATAGTATTTCATTAGTCAGCCTAATAACTTTGCTTATATTTGATATATCACTTCATCCCCTCATTGTTCCGTTGGCTTTGTTTAAATTTTCAGGATTTACATGCCTCATTAGTTTTTAAATATTATATAAGCAGTATGGCATATTTATTCTATTCTTTGTCAAGGTTTATACTTATCTTGACATTTGGTTGAATATGATCGTTGCCTTCCATCTCTATACACTTGATAACATTCATTCAATCGTGAATCTTTTCAAAAACTAGCAAGTGTGATTCCCAGGGTTTTGCAAAAATTCATTCATTCAATACAATTTGTCGGAATTTTTGCTCCTGGTGCTAGCTGTTTCTTATTGTTTTATCTCCTGAACACAATGTTTTATCCCGTTCACATTGAATTTATTTCTTCGCATCACTCATTCGATTTTATGTTATGCTCGAGTTTTATGCAGAGTTTACAGACTATTTTAACCATGCAATTACTAAATTCATTGTTATATTTGCCATATGAAACTACATACCTGCTGATATTTTCATTTAATTTTAGTTCACCACCTTATTCGGATACTTGGATGAATCTGGGCTGCGCAAGGTTTGAGATTTTTTACTTTGATTTTATATTTTATCCTTAGGTGAGTAAGTACATGATCCTAGTTTGTTCTTATATAATATTGTTTCACATCTCGTTTGTGATTCAAATGAGAGAAATTCATCTTTATTGGTCTTTGGAGTTGGCATAGCAGAAAGTATATATTCTTAATTCTTGATTTGATACTGTCACGATGATTTGCCAGTGAATGGAATGTTACATGAAGTCAGCAGAGACATCTGCAGATCAGCAGTGGGATAGGCTGGAGCACCTTTATTCACTTACATTGAAATCTCGTTTTGTTTTTGCAAGAATAGAGATTAGAGCAGAATTTCCTTGTACTTCGATAGAAGGCTTAGGCACGCGCAGATTTTATAGTACTGACAATCAAACAGGTATGAGGACAAGATGTGAAATATTCGCGTATAAAAGTTAAGGCTATTTGCTTTGAGTATTCTGAGTTATTTAATCAATTTTACCTGAGGAAGCCTTGACACTTAGTTTATTTACTAAACATCGGGATTATTAAAGCTTTCTATGATGCAATATTTCTTTGTATTATCCCTATTTAGGCCAGGATACTTTTCGCCAAGTGAAGCTGGCAATGCCGAGTAACTCCTCTGAAGCATCATAATCTCTTCCAACTAGTTTTTATCTTTATTAAGTACTACACATAAAGAGCCATGCTTTTCTGATGAGTCGTAAGTTTAAGTGCTCGTGTTTTGTTTGGCATTTTCAGGGACAATATCTAAACGATCACAATTTTAGTCGAAGGTGTGTGATAGTGAAGGTGGATAGGTGAATACACCAGGTCATTAAGAGAGATGTCACAACTGTTTAGCAGACAATTGGTCAAAGGATTGACTTGTCTACTTGACGAGTTGCAGTGTGGTGTTAAGGCTGGCAAAACTCATTGGCGATGCTGGCTAAAAATCTGGGAACGTACCAAGTCAACGGTTCTACTCTGAAAATTCTCATTCATATTATGGACTCTGGACAGGGTGTATTTCTCTTAGTCGTCCTAAAAATATGACTAAGTTATGAAAATTAAGTTAAACAACTACGATCACTATTTTAGTTTCTATAGCCAGTAGATATAGCTTGAACTCCTACTCGGTTTAGCCAATACTACAGATTTATGTCCTCTTTTTATTTAGTTAATTTTACTTATGCTTTAGCCTGGTGCAATTGATCGTTTTTGCCCCAATGAAGCCGCCTGCGAGCAGCTAATTGTCTACATTGCCAAACGTGTAGAAGCTACTGGACAGCTGGTACACGCCGTGCGCCTTTACCAGTTGGCTGCTGCTATCTGTTCCTCCGCAATAAGCACCACAAGTTCCGACTTCTTTGTTCATTCTATGCCTCGCCACCCTTCTTCAGCCGCTAACATGCTTGATTTGATTTTGGATGAGCGACGGCGTCATCATCTGATTTCGGCCACGCGACTGGTTAACAGCTTATTGGTTAACGCACTGGTCACAGGGGCGATGGGTGTCTCCGTTCCCACAGGTTCAGTCTGGACAGAAGAAGTCTTGTCAACAGGTCAGATGACTGGCGGGCATGCTGAACGCGGCGCAATCCTACAGTTGGCGACTGAGGTAAGACTTGTATTCGTAATTAGTGATTTTAGGTATAAGTTTTTCATCCAGGATGGTTTGCAGTTTCTACCTGTCCTGAGTTTCATCAGAACTTCTATTTAGATTAGCAATAGGATCTTGGGCATCGTGGCCACACGTTACCACTGCACAACACAGCCACAGGTACAATTGGATCATAGGGTTATTGTAAATTTTAAGACAGACCAGGCCTATCGAAGATCACAGCTATAGTGTGGTTCACGATGAGAAAAACATTTATTTGCCATCACATTAGACGACATTTTAATATTCTCATGTAGATGTTGACCAAGATGAGGTCGAAACTACAATCCGCCCTGAATGTGAATACAATTTTGGGAGGAAATACTAAGTGAGCTTCAATATCATTTTTCGTCTACTTAGATTACCATAAAGAAAACTCCATTATCAGTCTCTAAATCTCCCTTATGCACCTAAGGAGGCAATGTTATAGAAAAAATAGACAATTTATTAGTGGTGTGAATATAATCAAAATTGGACGTCGTTGATGCATCATATGCTTGTATTTGATATATATAAACAGTTTCTACGTTAAGGCAATCACCAATCTACACATTTACGTATAATTGAGGTCAGATTTATTGCAATTATTGGCAGTATAGAAGTTGTTTGACCTTGTTTTCGCAACTTGGTCATAATAATAGGAAGACTGATAGAAACGCACCTTGTCCTGAGTCCATTGTATGCATAATTATTTCCAGGTTCGGACTGTGGAT